CACTGACATTTCTAAATAGGGGGCCCATTAGCGCGACAGGGTCAGGTCGTTTTCTTGTGGTTTCAGTGCACATTACAACCCCGCCGCAATTGTAACCGACGACCTGGAAGTAAAAGTAGAAAAACGTTTTACCTCAATGGCTTCCAGGGCTCCTTTCTACTGTTCCCTGTTGCAGTGCTGCGGCAGCCTGGATTCCCATAAACATGGGTTACATCGATAACTTTCTATTATCAAAGATCGTTCATAACAAGAAAGTTCACTCGGCAAAAGCAATTGTCCGCAGAAGTTCGCCCATTTGTTCAGATGGCGTTGCAGTCTTTGTTTTGAAGCTCTCTTTCGTTTTTCCAGAAGAAGAATAGGAATAGCACAGTTTGTTAGTTTCGCTTTTGTTGTTTTTCACGCAAGTAGGGTAACTCTGTTTTCAAAGAGGGCGCCACCGTATATTTAAGTGTCAACATGGACACATGACTCAGCCTTATTGTGATTGGCTGCAAACCACCCAATCGCGCGACTTGCAGGCCGGAAAACAAACACGTTTGTTTTAGCAGGTCACCGACCGAGTCGATCGGTTTGTGCCATGATGGCCGCTTTGCGCCCTCAATTTGGCTAGCCCCGACTATGAAATCGACCCAACCCGACCCGACCCAATCGAGCTAGTGGGCAGTGGACACCCCCTATAACCTTGTTTGTGAGTCTGAGCTGACTTGCCATTGGACCACTGGGGCCCCATATCATCTATGCATTCTTTTAGGAGACAATAATCAGGGATGCCACCTTTCCGCTTTTTTTCGGTATTTCCTGTATTTTGATCCTGATCCGCTATTCCGTTATTGAGATCGAGATAGAATCTATAGTTTGTCATTTCTCTCTATGTACACCCTTTGGGTTTCAAATTGATATTCATATTATAATGTTAGGGAGACCATGTCGCATGGATTTTCAGCTATTTTTTTAAAAGTTGAGCGGCATCCCTGAATAATGAAAAGAGGGGACAGTTTCATAAAATCCTTTGTCCATTGATCACTTGGATATTGCCACTTATTATAGAGAATATACTATCTATGAGTTCAAAAGTCTTTTGTTGAAGACGTGTCTGTACTGTGCTTCTTCAACATTTGTCTGTTTTGGTAATGTTCATTTGCCTGTTTACGGGTCTTGGGATAACAAATAGAACTTCTGCTACTCACCAGGAGGTATGTTCTGTCTGTCGAATGGGGAAATAACACGCGTGAGCATCTCTGACTTAATTTGGCAAATACAAAATTAAAATCGGAAAGTGACATTATGCAATGGAATGTCCTTTGGTTTTTTTACGAGTGCCTATGTCCTGCCAATAGTTATGTTGAAAATCTGCTTGTGTGAACAGAAATCATATGTTCTGTTGGTGGGTGGTTGGCGGGTGCTCTGGTGTGGTTTGCTCCTTCTTCCCAATCAAACATCTGTCGTCCTGATCTCTCCTCCTTCTTTTTATTATGTTTGTTACTTTTTTGTAACACCTCCAATCTTCGACACTTATATGACCTTATTGTATTACAAGTGCCGTAAAACTCTTACTAAAACAAAATACGTTCTGTTGTGGCTGATTCATGTACATACATAATCATACACTATGTTAATTTGTCCATATCTAATGAGGTTGTGAGCATTGATTACATACATTCCTCCCATGTTTTTCTTAATGGGAACTTTTTATTGAAAAGCGAGTGCCGTTTAATGTTTACTGATTTTACTATGTTGTGAACAAAATTTTACAGTATCTTTTTCAAAATAAATTTTGAAAATCATTTTCTTTTGGTGTTTTTTTTTTGGTTTGTGTGTGTGTGTGTGTGTGTGTTTGTGAGTTTAACCTATTGAATTCAGTATACATGTATTCCTCAATTACTGAGCCATGCCTTCTCTATGTTTATCATGTTTTGTGCTCTGGAAACCACACTGATACCCCCCGGGGCAGTGCCACTGACTGAAGTGTCTTTAGGCCATTCCTAAAGGGGGGGG